TGTCTTTGTTTAACAATTCAATTACAGGAACTGTTCCTTTAGAACTTGGAAAGTTGAGTTCTTTAAGGGTTCTTAATCTTTCTTGGAATTCATTTACAGGTGAAATTCCAAGTTCTGTTTCAGATATTAAGAATCTGTCTGTTCTTGATTTGTCTTCAAATTTCTTGTCTGGACAAATCCCAGTTGAGTTTGGTTCATTTCTTGGACTTAAGTTACTTAATTTGGCAAATAACAGTTTAAGTTCTTATATTCCTTCTGAAATTTCAAATCTTTCTGCATTAGTAGAACTTGATCTTGGCTATAACTACTTGTCAGGGTCATTGCCTGAGGGTTTATTAAGAATGAGAAATTTGAGTAAATTGATAGTTGGAAATAATGAGCTAGAGGGTACATTGTCAAGTACTTTGTTTACTTCAAATGATTCTGTATTGGTGTATATAAATCTTAGTTGGAATCGATTCGAAGGCAAAGTTCCTGATGTTTTGTGGTCATTTTCTGATCATTTGAGGGTTCTTGATATATCAGGGAACAATTTTACTGGTGTGGTTTCAAATAGTACCTATTTTAATGCTACTGGTGCTTCATATAACCTTTCTAATAATCTTTTCTATGGAAATGTGACGTTTGATGTTCGGAGTTTTCAGTCGATTGATCTGTCTAAGAACTATTTTCAAGGACTAGCACCTGATAAATCTGGTGTTCTAGTTATGGATAATTGCTTTGCGGGGTTATTGAATCAGAGGAGTTTAGATGATTGTAGTAAGTTTTATGCTGATAGGGGTCTAGTTTTTGTTGATGGTGGAATCCAAACTCCAGTGCAAAGAGCCACGATGGGCGGGCATAAACGTTTGTTTATCATGGTTGGAGTTTTTGGTGGAGTTGGTGTTCTTATGCTTATGGCATTAGTCATTTTATTGTTTTGGAAGGTATGCTATAGAGGGAATTCAAACGAAAGAGGCATATCGAATGTTAGTCCTGTTGTGGAAGGAGGAAATAATCAGGCACCACCAGTAAAGTTCTCTCGTGATACATCTGGTTCGATAGAATCATTTACGTATGATCAGATACTAAAAGCCACAAGCAACTTCAATGAAACAGATCTTATCAAGAATGGTCATACAGGAGACATTTTCCGAGGAATATTGGAAGGCGGTGTCACTGTAGTTATCAAGAAAGTTAATGTACACCATATCGAAAAAGAAACATACAAGTTGGAGTTGGATTTGTTAAATTGGACAACACACCATAGGCTTGTCCCTTTTTTGGGACATTGCTTAGATCATGAGAATGAGAAATTCTTGGTCTATAAATATATGCCTAATGGAGATTTGTTCAATTTGTTGGCCCGGGATACGGATTTAGAAGACGAAAATGGACAGTCTTTGGATTGGATAACAAGATTAAAAATTGCAACAGGAGCTGCAGAAGGCTTAGTTTATTTGCACCATGAGTGTAATCCTCCCCTTGTTCATAGGTATTTTTTTATTTCACTTTTTTGCATTCTTGTTTGATAATGTTGTACACCAAGCTAATTATATTCTGCATTTTCTTGTTCCTGAAGAGATGTTCAAGCTAGCAGTATCCTTCTCGACGATAAATTTGAAGTAAGGCTGGGAAGTTTGAGCGACGTGTGTACACAGGAAGGTGATAGCCAGAATTTGATCACAAAGTTTTTCCGCACGACAAAGTAAGTATTACTATGATCATAGTTTGATCCTAATACCAGATTTTTCAGAAATGTAATAGACATTTAGTTAGATTTATGTGTTTACATTTCTGCATATTGCTTTTTGTTCAATGTTCTAAAATATATTATGTTTCTTGTTGACAATAAACAGGAATCCTGAGGGAGAGCCTGCTGGTATGTACTATTCTTTTCGTAAAAAAACGCATAGTTGAATAGAGTTATTTTCTGAATTTCTCATATGCTGCCTTTATACATGAACAGGATCTTCATATACAAGTTGCAGTACTTATGATGTATACTGTTTCGGGAAGGTCTTACTCGAGCTTGTAACTGGTAAGGTTGGAGTAAGTCACTTAGATGATGCCTCAACCAAGGAGTGGTTGGACAAGCTTCTTCCTTTCATCACTATACGCGAGAAAGAACTAGTGTCCAAGATAGTCGATCCATCTCTAATTATAGACGATGACTTACTTGAAGAGATGTGGGCTGTAGCAATAGTAGCCAAAGCATGTCTTCATCCGAGGCCTTCTAGACGTCCTGAAATGAGACGCGTCCTGAAAGCTCTTGAGAACCCGTTCAAGGTTGTTAGGGAAGGAAGTTTCAACTCTATAAGGCTACGAAATACTTCATCGAGGCAATCATGGAGTGCTGCTTTTCTTGGTAGTTGGAATCATAGCTCACAAGATAGTGTTAATGCTAGTGGCCAAACAAGCAAAGAAGCTGGCATGAACCTGAAACAGTCAGGAAGAGTAGGATTATCTCATTCTATTAGTAGCGGGAACGAACATTCATCATCGTGTAAGAGATCATCGAGTGAGATTTTCCCCGAACCTCAGGACACACTAGATATAGAGAGACAAGACATGAGCTAACCGTCTAGCACGAATCTATGCCAAATGCATTTCTGCAGGCAGGGGTTTTGTAAGTATAAGGAGCTTTGATTTTTTATTAGATGAGCGGCGGTACTATGATCATTCTGAAGACATGGGGCCTACACACTACACACATGTTATGCGGTTGGTAAACCCTTTCCTTCTGCAACAGCCTATCAAATCGGATCAGTATTTTTGAATATGTTGTGTTACATCATGTACATGTATTCTGTTTTTCCGCTTTTTCTTTTAGTGTGTCACAAATGCTCATGTACTTTGTAAATTTTCAAAAAGTTTACTCTTGTTCCTGTGATGATAGAACAAGTATATAACTGTGTCAAGAGCTATGTTGCTTGGACTCTTCAAAAATGCCAACGGGTGCGTGTCGGATTCGCCAAAAGTAGTGTATTTTTGGAGAATCCGAGACGGGTGCGGCATCAAAAGTGGAGAGTCCGCGCAACTAAGGTCAAGAGTGTACACTATCTAATCCAGATTCACATTTTCATGATCTCATATTTTGCAATTGCATGAAAAAGTATGATATGAATGAATAATAGAACCTGCACTTTCTTGAGCCGAGGGTCTATCGGAAACAACCTCTATACCTAAGGTAAGGTCTGCGTACACCCGCCCGTCTCAACACCCTTGCACAAGGTATGTTGTTGTAATTGGATAAATAGGGCCTCAAAACTGCTATAGTGTGTTAACCCCTTGGAGGCCTAAATAAGGATAAGTAACTAAATACATGTAGATGCACCTGACAGTTACAATGAGCAAAAGTCTTCTTTTAACTGCATTTGGTTGTCCAATGGTGAAATCAGGATTTTCACCAAAAGGATTCAAAATATAAAGAAGTAGATACACAAAGAAGCTAAGGGGATTCACATATACTATACATACACACAAATTATTTTTGACAGTATATATACAACGTCTAAATTATAGAATCAATATATTCTTATCAACACTTCAAATGTGAAGCATCATTGATCAGATTCATCAAAAATTCAAGACAAGCAAATTAAAAGTCATATTTTCATTTAAAAAGTGTCCACAGACCAACTCTCTCCATTAATGAACCTACAAAATCCTTCGAACTGTATGTCTGTATCAGATTTTACAGATATTTCCTCATTTCCACCTCTGAATCTCAAACAATTCGATTAAGTAGGCATAATACATAAATATGCTCTTTGATTTGGATTCAGCTGACATCTATGTCCTCCAACTTTGGATGTGCATAAGTAGACACTTAAACTTGTATAAATTGAACATATAGACACATGAGTCCTTCGTGGCATAATGCACGTAGAATGCCACGTAAGATACAAAATTGTCATATAGAACAAATGTGTTTGGTTGTTTAATTTCATACAAGTTTAAATGTCTACTCGCATATATCCAAAGTTGGAGAGCATAGATGTCATCTGAAGCCAAGTTAAACTGACATATTTATATATTATATCATTAAAGTAGTCTATTGAACGGATTCTAAGATATGAGGGGATGTAGCTCAAATGGTAGAGCGCTCGCTTTGCATGCGAGAGGCACGGGGTTCGATCCCCCGCATCTCCATTTTTTTCCATCTTTTTTATAATAGTAAAGAAGAAGTAAATTGGTGCACTAAGCTTCCGCTATATGCGGAATTTCAAAAAAGATTAGACTACATTAAATCTATATTGTTTGCAACTTTATTTTATATTTTTGTAAGAGACATTTCTATTGTTTGAACCTTTAATTTCTAATCACACGATAATAACTTAAATTGTTGCACCATGCCACTGGATTGATAAGGATTAAAGAATATGCTTGGAGTGAAATGCATACTTGTATCAAAATATCATTAATAATGTTAATTTATTAAAACACACTCCTAATAAAAAATAATTGAAATTGTGCCAATTCAACATGATTAAGTAAAGTAAAATCGAGGATGTATAATCAAATTCTCAATTCATTTAATAAGCTTTGACTTAATCAAAGTCTTTTACTTCATTTTCCTCTTGATTTTTTCGTCTTTGAACAATTTGATTTTAACCTAACCATAAAATTTAGTTCATTTTTAGTACTTGTCCAGGATTGATTTGAAATATTTTAAATAATAATTTTATGTTATCATTTTTTTTAATAATAATTAATAATAAATATCTCTTAATATTTTTAAATTAGATAAATATTCCCTCGTGCAATTTTTACTTGTCTATTTTAATCTATACACGCTCTTAAAAAGTAATACTAATTAATATAAAAAAAATTATCATAATATCTAATTATCTATATTAATTGATGTTTTGTATTAAATTTTGAGAAATAAATAATCAGTGCTAAAATAAAAATATTTTTTTTCTTAAAAATAATAAAATCTATTTTTGAAATAATAAGAAAGTAAATTTAATGTCAGTAAAAATGAATATCTATTTTTAACACAAGCACAATCACCCTTTTTTGGAAAAAGAAAGATAAAACTTCCTTCTTCTACAGAAATCACAGCGATATAGCGAAGCATCAAAATGGATCTCTGAATCTGTAGCTGAGAAAGTCAGTGATCCTTCAATTACTCACAATCTGCCTTAGCTTCTCCATCTTCGTCTTGCTGCGAGGTGAGGTAACAAATTATACTTTGCAGCTCTTGATTTTGGTTCGATTTGATTTAGGTCTTTTTGTTCTGTGAAATTTAGGCATCAATGTTTCTTAGATTTGCGATTTTACTATGAAATTTGCTGTTTTAGGTTCTAATTTTGCTTCAATTTGGATTTTGGCTGATTTGTGGCTTCATCCTGCAATTAAACGAATCATATATTGGCCTAATGTGTACCCGGTGATGTTTTAGAGTAGAACTCAAAGTTCCTTCCTCTCTGAGAGGTTAGTTTGGTAGATCGTCTGGAAACACCTCTGTATTGTATCATCCCCCGGGTTTCATGAACTGTAGTTGTAGAGTATAAGAAAACCTGACTGATCATCCTGTGCACCTTCGTGAAAGATATGATTTTTATCCTGTGTTATGGAAACTATACAATTCCTTAGCTTAAGAAGTTTGACTAATTGCTCCTCCGATCCAGAGTGGATTCTAGGAAGTTCTACTTCTACATGTGGTTCCCGGGAATACAAACCTCAAAACTGTGGAGTGGCAATCAAGTGTTGTATGACATGATCCCATCATATTCATACACAGAATAACATTGAGGTCTACCATAGGCAATACAATTAAGTCATTCACGGTGTCTTTGATCTGTACTAAGACCTCAGAGTCTCATCCACAACGATAGACTCCCCCACTCGAGTCGAGACAAAAAAAAAAAAGGCTTGTCTAGGAACTATAATACCTCTCCAAACAAGATGTTAAGTGTGGTGACATATAAGAATAGTTAGATCCAAGATCTATAAGTGCAAATGCCACATGAGAACAAATTGTAAAAATATCTATGACCACGTCATTCGATGCCTCAGCATCCACTCTGACCATAGCATAGAGATACAAGTTGGTCCCCATTACCCTGAAGAACGTTACCACTAGCAACATGTGGAGCAACCTTAGCTGGTTGAGCTGTAATCTGAGTGTTACCAATATGCCTTGGACACAAACCTGTGTTGATATCCATTAAAGGCTGATGTGCAATACATATTTGGGTTTTTATATAGTCCAAATACTACAATCCAGTTGGCTCCTTGATGCATTCTGCTCTGAATTTCTTTTTCCAGCAACTATTGAATGCAAATCAGTCATACATGGGAAGTTTCTGAGAGGGCATGGTCTGCATTCGTTTTATTAACACTACTAAAGTGCTTAGCCTTAGGGACACATTCAATATAGTTGTGCAAGGATTTTAGTTTAATAGCTGTGCAAAAAGAAATGTCATTCAAAACCTTTTTTTGTTTTGAATGACATTTCTTTTTGCAGGTAAGCAATTTAATGTAACCAGCTAATGCTATTAAATATATATATTTTTTAAATAGGTAACTTTGCTATTAACTAGAATTTTTGCACAACTATATTGAATGTGTCCCGAAGGCTAAGCACTTCAGTAATGTCAATCAAAAGTTTTGTGAACCATGCTTTCTTGGATACAAACCATGTCCAAATGATTTGAATTTCTAAAAAGCAATAAACTAATGTAGAGTTGAATGCATCAAGGAGCTCAGTAGATTGCCGATTTGGCTATATAAAAGCCCAATTATATACTGCACATCTGCCTTTTAATGGATATCAGCACAGGTTTGTGGCCTATTTCAAGCTTACTCTCACCCTCTCTGGTCTATTCCAATGAAATCAAGTGCCTTGTTGCTCTCTCTCATTCATATTTTTTTCTTGTTTCGTGAAATGAAAGACACAAACGTATGTCTTTCCAGTTATCAAAAGAGGATCAGTTTAGTTTGAATTTTGTGAGTTCAATTGGATTGGGATGGAATTTCGCTGTGAAAAGCATACTTTCCAAAATTTTGACAAATCTCATTTTGTATTTGGGGATTTCCGCAGGACCCTTTTCCTTTGTTAAGATTTCTGTTTTTATTCTCAGATCTCATGGATAATTTTTTCTTATCTAAAAGGAAAACTTTGTGTTCTTGGAAATACCTGCTTTACCCGAAAAACCAACAATTCATATTCGAGAGGTTTAGAATGGCAATCTAGAACTCTTGTAGCAATAACAACTACCATTACAAACCTGAAGGGTAACATGGACTTGTTAAGGTTGATTCAGTTGGGTTTCTTTACGTTTTTTCTCATTTCTCAGACGAGTTAGCTGTAGAAGACAGGTTGTTCACCTTATTTACTATAGGTCTGTTAGCATTTGCACTACTCCATTAGCTTAAGTATTTTAGGTTCAGCCCAGACCAAATGTGTTCACTTTGAACAAACATAAAGGCATATTTATGCTTAGTGTTATATATCAAAAACCAAAATACACCTAACTCTTTACTGAAGGGAGTCTGGGACTATTTTGAGTTTTTGCACTTGATATTTGTAATGCCTTCCTACTGGAGATAATTATCACTTTGGTCATCTATAGGAGTATTATTTTTCTTGGAATACATCCTTCTGATAATTTTCACGTTTTCTCGGAAAAGGCCTTCTTGCTAAATTGCCACTGTGTCTCTCTGTCATAATACACTTTAGGGAAAAGGCATTTTGAGATGTACTACTTTGCAATGTCAGGGTATAAGATACAGTTCTCGCTTCTCGGTCATCTTTCTCCTGATGCTTTTTATATGTATTATATATGTTTTTAATTATCTGATGTGTCCAGTTAAATGTTCTACAGTTGGTGTTGAAGATGTCTTCAGCTCAAGATCCTTTTTATATTGTCAAGGAGGAAATTCAAGAATCTGTAAGTTCATCTACTTCTATCTAGTTATGTTCTAATAATCTTGAAGTGAAGTAAATCTTATTCGTCTAAGATTTGTTTTTTTTATTAGTGTGTTGTTCTTATTCTTGCATGGGAGATAGATTCATGAAGGGTTGATGGTGTTTCCTGTCATGTATCTATCTCCATCTCTCTCGACATTCTGGGGAGGGGTGAGTAATGTGTTATGAGATAAAGTAGAATTCTTCTAGACTAAGGTTTAAAATCAAGTGCTCCAGTAACAGCTAACAGGTAAGCAAGCTGGTTTTGTGATTTTCTGAGGCTATTGTCTATTATCATAGAAGAAATCAAAAAACAAGCGGAACAAACTAAGAAATTTCATCTCTTTTACTGTTAAGAAAAAATAAACTAAGACTTCCCTTGCTGGTAGAATCTGTTGGATCTCATCTGTGATCAAGTTTGTTGACTACTCAAACTAACTCTTAATATTCCTGCTTGGTTAGATTGACAAGCTCTTGTCCACGTTTCATCAATGGGAGCAAACTTCTGCCGGAAGTAGTGAGCAAGTACATCTTACCAAAGAACTTCTTGCCTCATCTGAGAGCATTGAGTGGCAGGTATGTGCGAACACGTAGCTCCTTGAAACTTGATTAATTGATACTTATCACTGTTTGGTCTGTAAAATTCTCATTATATGTCTTCCTGATTGCCTGCACTGTACGTGAATGAATAACAGCAATTTTAAATAGCCAGATACAATTGCATGTTTGATGTGTTGCACCTGTCTTAAGTTCAGTCTGTGAATTTGTACTGTCCAATCTGTCGGCTTTAGTACTTAGGGAAAAATGTTCTTCTTTCAGTGAACAATAGCAACATACCCAGAGTTGTTCTTCTGTCAATGTGATTTGATATTGATCTACTGCAGCTATGACTTACTTCATATCCTTATATCAATGCTGAATTCCTGTTTTCTTGATGAGAAGGTGGATGAATTGGACAAAACAATTGATGTTGCAGCAAGAGATCCTTCTTGGTATGGTATTAATGATATTGAGCTTGATAAGAGAAGAAGATGGACCAGCAATGCCCGTGCTCAAGTATAACTGATTCTGTTGATACCAAATATATATATTCTTTTGTTCCTTGGTTCCTTAAAATAAAAAACGATTTCAAATTGCCTTTAACCAGGTGGGAAGCATGAAGAAAGCTGTAGTAGCTGGAAAACAGTCAAATGGGACAAGTACATCTAATCTGAGTGGGATGCGGCGAGAACTGTTGAGATTGCCAGATTCTGATCAGAAAGAGAGATCCAATGCATACAATGCCCGAGATAATGATGACTTCATATCATCAGAATCAGATAGACAATTACTTCTTATGAGGTAATATTCCCTCCATTTCTTTGCATCTATCCTTGTTTGTCATGTTTTTATTACCAATTGATTTTTGTTCCAATCTCATTGAAAATCTTGCATGCACCTATCCATTTATCTTTCTGAGACATCTTAATGTTTTCTCAATCTTTACTGTGGAATCCTAGCCTTTGATTTTATTTATGTGGGGATGATGATATGTATCATCAACCTCTCTAAGATCTTTATGTCGTCGTCATAACCATTCTGCCATGTCTTTTTAGCTTTCTGAGTTTGTCTACTCAACTTCATTTATCATGGAATAGTATGCTGTATTGACTACCCTTTAGTACCTGTTATTGAAGGTGTTAGCTGTATAATTTTGCCAGCACTTAAATTATGTTGAGAAGACTTCAATTAATCTAGAATTTCGAGGATGTAGCATAATCTTGAATCTATTTGATATGGTACTATGGCATTTTTATAGGTTTTAAATTTAACTTTCAAAAAGCCTATTTTCTGGATCATTCACTTCTAACCTAAGTTGCTCGGACACGGGTGTGGGTGTCCGATACGGGTGCGGACCCTTCATGATCTAATTTTTAAGATTCGGGGATATGGATCCATGTATGGATACGGGTGCGGGGATTCGCCTAAAAATAATTAAAATATCTAAAATTGGAGTTACAAAACCTAAATTACAAGATATCATGTGGAGAACTTGAGGAGAATCTTCCAAAGGAAAAGGAATGACATAGAAATTTCTATGTAAAAGGTATTCCATTTCCTTCAATTTCACCTTAGCTTTTGTGTTGATTACAGAAATCATTAAAATTGTCCGGACTTTCCCCATCGATTTTGTCAAAGTACCCAAAATAGATTGACCAAATTGGACACGAATTCCACACCCACACCCATGTTGTGCCGACACGGGTGCGGCACCAAAAGTGAAGAGTTCGAGCAACATAGCTTCTAACAACAGATTGGATGTCCTGTGCAGGCAACAGGATGAAGAACTAGACGAGCTTAGTGCCAGCGTAGTCAGAATTGGAGATGTTGGGCTCACCATACATGATGAACTTCTTGCACATGTAAGTGCTACCACCTGCTTAATCAGTTCCTTGAATTTCTCGTCACTCAACAAATTGCAGCTGCTTAAACTCCTCTGAAGCAAAATGTAGTTAAAATCAATATACGTTCCTTGCAGGAGAAGATCTTAAGTGAGTTGGACACGGAGATGGACAGTACATCCAATCGTCTGGATTTCGTTCAGGTAACTGAAAGTTTTTCTCTAGTTTTCAAATTTCTAAATCAGCTGCATCAACAAAAAAACTTTTATTTATCGCTGTTATAGTAATCTTATCGCATAGAAACCACAATTTGTTGCAGAAAAAGATCGGCATAGTAATGAAGAAGGCGAGCGCCAAGGGACAGATGATGATGATTTGTTTTCTGATAGTTTTATTTATTGTTCTTTTCGTTCTGGTTTTCTTGACCTAGTTAGCATACTTTGTTTTCTTATAATTTTGTTCAATTCATTCTGGTTTTGTCTACCCAGTTTATTATGTACGTATTGTTATGGAAGAAACTGGCATGTATACAGCATATACATAAATGAATTGGAAATCTTGGCATTGACACTACTACAAATGTTTTCTTTTTGGGTTGAGCATTTGTAAGTGTGTTACATTATAATGTATATTTTTTTTTATTGGATTGTTTGTTTTTTTTATACTAAAAATGGGATGAATAGAGTAAAATTTTAAAATTGGATTCTACTTTCAAACTCTTAACAAAATAATGTTAGAAGATGAAAGTTGTGAATACTGATGTGGATGTGTGGGCATACTTAGAGGTAGATAAGATGAGGGAAGCGAGACTAAGATAATTTGAGTATGTAAAAAGAAGTGTAATTGCCTCGCTCGCGAGAGGAACAGACCGACAATTTAGCATTATTTCGCTCTTACACAATTTATCAAGTTGATAATCTTTGACTAATTGTGATAAAAGATTTTATTATAGGTCAAAAAATGATAATTTTCATAAGGCATCTGCACAAAAGTCCTCAAAAATCATGACAATTTATATGTGTGGAACATGTTTTTATAATTGAATTAGTTAAATGAGATAAGCATTCCTCTTATTTATATCTTTTTCTTTATTGGTGTTTTATAATTTAACCACATTACTTAATACTTTTTTCATCTCAAAATATTAATCGTAATTTTTAAAAATATGTATGTAAAATTATTTGTCATTTTAGATATCCATGATAAAACTAATTATTTATTTCCATTTTATTTTTTATAGTAATTGTTCTTGAAAAACTACAAATACCTCAAAAGAGTAAGACTTTGTTTGAATTAACTTATTTTAAACATTTTTTAAGTCAGAATAATAAAAGAAAAGCATTTAATTGATGATACACTTAATTAAGAAAATAGAATGGGATCATGTTTAACGTTGGATATCACACTAGTATTCCCTCCGTCCAACAATAGTTATCCATTATACTATTTTTGAATGTTCAAAAATATTTGTTAATTTTATGAAATTAATGAATAATTTCACACTTAGTTCCTAATTTACTCTTATCACTAATTATACGTATTTTTCTATTATAATTTTCAAGATATTATATTTATTACTATTTTATGAATAATATAGTAAAATTACCTTTTTATCTATAGTTTTTTTTAAAACTGTATAAAGTCAATAATAAGTACAGATTAAAAGGTATAAATTTAAAACATCACTTTCATTAATTGAAATTAAAATTGAAGATACCACCGACCTCGTAAATCTCAAATTCGTTCTTTTTTTTCTTGTAGATAAGATCACCCATCCTCTTTGTTGGCCTCCATCACCATCAACATTTCTTTTCATGCACATAAATTTCTCACCCCCACTCCACACACAACACATGGGGTGGGGTTATAATTAAACTAATGAGTTCGATAAAATTTAATAATTTGGATTTTTAACTTATATACATATTTTAAAAAGTTCATTGAATATATATTTAAAAAAAGGAATTTGGATGTCATCAATTTAGGAGGACTAGTATCACATGGACTGATTTTATATTTAAGATGTAAAGATAAAATAAGTCTATATACTATCTTTTTCAAAGTTCATTTTAATTAATAGAATTCTATCGGATATGTTATTATTATTATTATTGAAGTAATAAATATGCATTTAGTTAAGTGATTTCTCTTTCAAATTGACTACCTTTTTATTTTTATCATTTAGATAAGTTGATTTTTCCTTATTAATCAAATTATGTCTAGTGATACATAAATTATTTACACAACTTAAATTTATGCTTCAACATAAAATTGTCTTGAGGGATAAAATTTAAAGATAAACACAAAATAGGAGCAAAAGTATGGATGACACATGAATATGACCTCTAATTTGACAAAAAAATATATTAAAAATATACTATTGAATATTTGAATGTGTAACAAAGTTTATAGTATAGCCCATCCTGAAATTAAACAATTGTTTGCTATATCTTGGACAATATGAACCTTAATATTGAATGGTAATGGATATTATCTTTTGACTATAATAAGGACCCACAACAAGAAATATAAAATATTCAAGCATAAATAAATATTTCTAATTTTCCTTATCCTCTTATACATAAAATGCGTTTCAATTTGTTTGTTATATTTTAATTTAATATGAACTTAAAACACAACAAAATAATGAAATAAAAGAATGAACGAAAGGGATTGGAGGAAGGACGGATAAACTTGTTGCTTGTGTTTGATTAACTATTTACTGACTTATATATTAAAAAGAATTTTAAAATAAATAATTTTTATATATTTATATTAAAGTGTGTCAAATGTATTAAAATATCAATTAATCTTATGGTCTAAAAAGTTAAAATTTATGACTAGAGATCTCGAGTTCAAGCCTTAGATATGAAAAAATCCTTGATAGAGAGCGTTTTTCTCTGAATGGAGATCTATGCGGCGTAAATTTAAAATAGTCGGACTCCCAATATAAATATCGAACACCGAGTAAAACATTGAAACAAAAAACTAAAAGAATAGAGATGTTTTTTTAAAACAGATTAAAAAGTAAAATAGAACAAACAAATTAAAATGTTTTTTTTTTCATAGAGCCACATAAACATTAGTATAGTAATATTGATAATATCTACATGGTGTTATTATATAAAAATAATGAGAGAGGAAAAAAATACTAGTAGAGACTAGAGATTAGAGAGAAGGAAAAAAACATATTTTGATTGTAAAGATTGAAGAAGATTCCAAAAAGAGTAGCATCACTCATCACGGTATATGATTTTTTTATCCAACCAAAAAGTTTGGTGGAAGTTGATGAGAAAAAACACTTCTTTTTTGGGAACTTGAAAGTGATTTAAAAGATCTTTTGAGAAAGGATTTTCTTGATTAAGTATATCAAGTTGAGAAATTTTTTGGATTTTGTATGTAATTTTCTCTTTTATTTCTTGGGTAAAAGGTGAGTTTTTTTTTTTTTGGTTGTGGGGGGGGGGGGGGGGTTAGTTTGGCTGCTTATGGGATGTGTGTAAATTGTATATTGCTAGCAATTTGTTGGTATCTTTCTGGTTTTGGTGTATTTGCTTTGATTTTTGAGTCAGTTCAGTTCTTGATTTTGAGATGAAATATAGAAAAGATTGCAACTTTGGATTGGTTTTTTGATTTGTCATCTGAAATTACTGGTGGGGTTGTGTTTATTTTCAAGAATCATTGATTTTGAGATGAAATGTAGAAAAGATTGCAACTTTGGATTGGTTTTTTTATTTGTCACCTGAAATTACTGGTGGGGTTGTGTTTATTTTCAAGAATCATTGATTTCTGCTGCTAATTTTGCAAGATTTTCTCTTTATTCAATTTTGATGTCACTTCTTAGTTTAACTAATTTTGATGAAATGAAGAAAAGATTTGAACTTTGGATTGGTTTTTTGATTTGTCATCTAAAATCACTGGTGGGGTTGTGTTTATTTTCAAGAATCATTGATTTCTGCTGCTAATTTTGCAAAATTTTCTTTTTATTCAATTTCGATGTCATTTCTTAGTTTAGCTAATTTTGATGAAATGTAGAAAAGGTTTGAACTTTGGATTGTTTTTTTTTAATTTTGTCATCTGAAATAACTGATGGGGTTGTGTTTAATTTCAAGAATCTTTGATTTTCTGCTGCTAATTCATAGACTTGTTTGCAAGATTCTATTTTTATTCAATTTTGATGCCATCTTTTAGTTTAGTTAACTTGTATGACTAAGTCTCATATGAAGTGTTTTTTCAATGACCTCTTCTATTGTTTTTGGTCTTTCTAGACTTCTAGGCATAATTAGCTCAAATAAAGTTTGGTTTTTTTAGCAGCCTAGTCATAATTTTGCTTGGTTAAAAATATATTTGATCCTATAAGAAAGTATGTAACTAAATTTGGATCCCTTATTTTAGATAATTTAATTTAATTGTATGCCCAAAATTCTGTTCCTAAAATCTTGGTCTGTTTGTTTTCTGGAACCTTTATATTGTGTGTGTGTTTTGTGGAGTAAAATCTCTCTTTTTGCATTTCCATTGTTGTTCTCTCCATGTTTTGCCTGTATGATTCTCTGATCAGAGATGTCTGATAATGGAACAGGGTTCTTTGGCCTACGTAGGTCCCGATTCATGGTTCGATTATGTCCTTATATCGGTGTCTGGTGAAGGATTCTGTTGAGGATTAAACATGGAGAATGGTCATGAATCACTCAACAATGGAAAACCAGCTGATCCTGGTCTCCAAATTATTAGGCACCCCTCTTACCAATCATCTTGTGGTAAATTATTGTTATCTTGGTTAGATATAAGAGTTTTCTATATTAGAGTCAGCAATTTTATGGTAGATGATTCCACCCCGGAATATCTTACTCTCAACCACATTCCTCTAAGTCCCGATACATTGCTTGAAGTTAATGGAACAAGATGTTCCATGTATTCAGAAGGAGCATCTTGTCTCCTTCGAAGGGATCGGGTTGATAAGAAATCCGAAGAAGCTACATTTGTGAGCACGGATAGTATAAGGTTGACAGGAAGTGTGAAATTTGAGGTTTTCAATAAAGATGATCTTGTGCTCTCGGGGTTTTTAGAGATGTTGAATAGTAATGGTTTTGTTGGGGAGTCTAAAAGCAGTAGCAGGAGATGGAACATGGATTGTGAATCGGTGATGAATGCTGGCACTGGTTTCCTGAAGGGCAAACAAATTATGGATTCTGAATCATTATCACCAACAATTGAAGTCTTTGTTACTGGTTGCTTCTCCGGGACACCTATCATCTTGACCAAGAGTTTGCAGCTCAATCATCGGAAGAAGCACAACAGGAAGGGTATGTTACACTCAATCCCGGAGCATGAAACAGATGAACAGCACAAAGATGTCTCATCTGAACTTGATCTGCAGGTATAATTGGTAGTTCAGCACCTTTTGTTGAGGTCCATTTGGTATAGTGATTTGGTTTTTCAAATTCTATAATGCATATCAAAATGCAAAAACAACTGATAGGGCACATCCAAACCGTCAACATAATTGAATAACCACTGGTACCTATAAATGTACAGACTGAATCAATTAACAAACCTCAAAATGCTTGCATATATACTTTAGCATACATTAAGGACTAGTAATTTTAGTAAATATTATGAAGATAACTGTTAGTTGTAGTGTTTAGGACAAAAATGATCACTTTTTGCATACATTAAGGATTATCTAGGGTAGTGTACATATGAAGAACCAAAATAGTCCACCCTATACCTTAAGGACCAACAACAACAACATACCCAGTGTAATCCGACAAAGTGGGGTCTAGGGAGGGTAGAGTGTACGCAGACCTTACCCCAACCTCAAAGATTGAGGGGTTGTTTCCGATAGTACCTCGGTTCAAGAAGAAAAACAGTTCAAAGCAGTCCAAGAAAAGAAGTAATGCAAGAAACAACAGATAGTAACAATTGACATCTAGCTTTATTCATGCTTCATATCTTTCTTTTTCTTTTTTTTGGATAAAGTTGTACATGCTTCGTATGATGAAACATGTTTCTGTGTTACATCATACCTAAAGGCCTGTATCTTTTAGAATCTTATCCTAATCAGTGTCATTGGTATGGGCTGAGACATACTTTCAGATGATTCTTTAATATTAAATTTATGTGTCTCCCATGCTACATTGTTCCTAAGTCTACAAGATCTTGATGTGTGGGGTCATTATCCTTTTTCTTTATTTGAAGAAATTGGAAATTATTTTTTACAAAAAGTAGCACAAAGGAGGTGCTACTATTCAGATTTTTTTTAAAAATATTCCCTAATTTGAATTGTAGGGAACTAGTAAAGCTTATTCGAATGTCTACAGTGTTCACATTTTTAAGATCATACCAAGCTGCAATAGAATACAGATTTTTCAGTTTAGTGGTAAGGATAAGACACCGTCTCCAGTTCCACAACACATGTGATGGAATAGTACTCCAGATCTTCCGATTCATTTGCTTCTGTTTCATTCGTAGCCGGTCTAACTTGTGTGAATGACCACCTGAAACAAAATTTCAAAGAAAGTGAAGGAAAAAAAATCCCATGTTAGTAGTACAATAGATATGTTTTTTTAATTATCCCATGTCTATCTGTTCCTTATAATGTTGTCTGTGCCATGCATAATATCTTGGACATCAATTATCCTATGTGATAAGATTGGAAAAGGAAACAGAAGGCCCTCCCCCAATCCTTTAGGATCCTCCTTTTTACGGATCTGAAAGAAGTGGTGGTGGTTTGTATTAAAAAGAAATATTATCATTTGCTACCTATGAATACCGGCAAACAGTTTAAAATGCTATAATGGATGAGTACTCTATGAATACTGGCGAAAATTAAAAAATGCTAGAACAGACGACTATTGCTTCCTGAAATTTTTTATGGCTTTTGCCATGAAATTTTTCAAAAGAATTTAAGAAATCCTTAGCTTTCCACTTGCTATAACAACCTTGTAGAGATTTGTTCTTTTCTTTTGTAATGTCTTACGCGTTATAGAGGACTAGTATAATGATTCTGTTGACTGTATTGTAGGCCTATTGTGCTGCTTTAGTTTTGAAGTTGAAAGTTGAAAAAGGAAAGGATGTTTATGTTTGCCTCACTTTCAGATTCTTAAGTTCCCTTTGTCAATTCTTCGTTCGATTTTCACAGATGGTTGCGGGCTTTTAGCATTTCTTAATTTCTATATTTGGAAAAGTGGATCTTTCAATCATAACTAGTCCAAGAATTTGCACAGCTTCTGAACTTCATTGTGTGTTCACAGGTTACAGAGTATAGAAAGTATGAACTAGAAAGCGAAGAAGACTACAACATGTATTGGAGACAAACGGAATATATGGATGGTGAAGATGGGGAACTATCCTGGTTCAATGCTGGGGTCCGTGTTGGTGTAGGGATCGGCCTTGGCATTTGCGTAGGAGTTGGAATAGGAGTTGGCCTGTTAGTCCGCACCTACCAGACTACTACGCGGAACTTCAGAAGGCTTGTGTGATTATGTAGCGGTAGCTGCATTTGTTTTTGCATAGACCAAACGGCTAACAACAGATATATGCTTGTCTTGAGAGTGTGAATTCTGCTCGGTAGACAGTTTCAGCGTAGCTAACCATCATACATTTTCGTGTTTAACTTACTTCCTGTTAGCTTTTCGTCTTCCCTTGCCCTATCCCCGTCCCCGTGTTAAGTCTCTTTGTACCCCCTTCTTGTTTTGGATTTAGGTGTGAAACTTCTTACTGTTGTAGATGTTCCATTCTGTTGCTGAGATGTGTCCAAGGCTACACAAATTATATAATCATTTGGTATAATTTTTGTGTTAAACTTTTTGGACTAGTAGTTCAATGTAATTTTGTTCTTTTTGTAAACTCTTCCATCTGATAAATTGATGGTTTGGTGCAAGTGCCTAGGAAGCAGTAATTATATATTGTTTGATGGTTTACATTTGACAACCAGTATTATCCAGCGCGATCCAAAAAATCTCTAAGGTCCGTTGGGGTTTAAAATTGCAAAGTGTAGGCTTTAATAAGAAAGGCGTAAATTGAGAAAAAAATAAAGTATCAATTGTTTAGTATTGACTTTTCAGGATTATGTAAATTGGCAAGGAGTCTTAATGCGCATAAAGCTAGGTGAAGCGTTCAATATGTTTTGCATCTTGCTATGTAATTCAATGGATGAATACTTATTGGCTTCTCAAATTACATTATCAAAACTTTACTGCTGCTTGAAGGCTCCCCTTTTAATATATAGCATGTCACTTTATTATTTAAGTGTATTGATTATCAAACATCCTACTTCTGCATTCCTTAAATTATTCGATCATGCAATACTTATTTAATACAAAAAAAAACACACTCAATCCTGTCGTAGTTCTCAATTATTTCATGGCTTTGCGCAACGATGGAGGAGTAATAAGAAGTAAGTCTTGAAGTAGACATTCTTTTCCTTCTTTTATCAAGGGTGTGTGCACACCTCGACTATTTCACCCAAAACGTTACTTTCTATCTTCTACCACCATAAGATATCAGATAACTCTGTCAAACAAAGGACTTAAATAGATGAAAAGCAATCACCTAGTGTTTATTGCCTAATATTTAAAATACAAATTCTTAACATCTTACATTTGTTATATCAAAGCAAAGCATCTAACAAGTTTAAGTAACTCTAGCAAAAGCATCTAAACTTTGACTGGTGGAGCAAGACACTCCGTCTTTGGAGCAACCTCAGGTGCAGAGTAGCCATTAGTTTCAGTGTGGTGTTTGTCAAAACTCCAAAACTTTGCAGCTTTCACATCATCTTGAGCCATTTGCCTTGAGAACTCTTCATGATCATATTTCAAATTTGCTTTTCCTCCTAATTCAGTTGGTAAATTATCCATGTCAAAATATGACTTCATCAATTCTACACTGTCCTTGTTCTTTGGATAAACAAATTTGACCTTCTGCATTGTTTTGGGATCCAGAAAATACTTGACTATCTGGAACAAGAAGAGAAAAAAATCAGCATTAATAAAAGGTGTAAGACGAAGGGAGAGCCTCGGAGCAATGGTGAAGTTGTCACAGTGTGACCTTAGGTCACAGATTCGAGCTGTGGAATCAGTTGCAACCGATGCACGCACCAGCATAGGTTGCCTACATGATGTATCACACACTTTGGAGAGCAGCGTGAACGCAGGATGCTTTGTGCACCAGGCTGCCTTCCCTGAAGTAACTATGGTTGGTTGATGGTTGAGTAAAATACATAGTAGAACCATATAATAGCACATGGTTCGATATGAACGTGTAAACCAACAAGTCAGTGACTGAAAAAAGAGATTAAGTGTGATTGGTATGGAGGAACACATTTTTGAAAAAATATATAAGAAAACAAGTTCCTTAAAAACGAGAAAAATGACTTCTTTGGTGTAAATAGAGAAAACAAGTTTCATAAGTGGCGTTCCATGTTGATTGTTTCCTCCCCACCCCCTAACACACTCCACCCATTCATAAGCTTTGGCCTTTAAAATAGTTAACACAATGTAATTAACAAGGGTGAGAACACTTAGATAAATGATCACAAGTTTTGCTTGGTTTTTGTTAGATCAAGTAACAGGTAAGAGGTGAAAGAAAAAGATAAGATTCAGATCAAACCTTCCAAAATGCTTCAAAAATTCGCGGAGGGTTGTACAGAAATGCTACAGCAAGTCTTTCAGGGTAGTGATTCTGCAAAATATTGACAGTCTCGCGAGCAGATTTGATAGGAACATTGTTGGTTAAAGACCATCCTGTGAAGTCTATCAACCATGACATTTGCTCTTGGTCTTGTGGAAGATTAAGAATTGCATTCTCTATCAGATACACTAAATGCCTCATCTGGTTGTCTAGTGCTGTCGTGTTCTGCAGAATGTAAGCGAAAATTATGAAAACCAATTCAAGAATTTTTTTCAGCAGTTATCGTAACACAGATTTTGAAGACTTTAGAGTAGGTATCTTATGTTACCTGCATTCCTGGTCTCAAGATAAGAACAGTCCTCCCATGACGGTCATGAAAATTTGCTCTATAAGCCTTCCCAGTCTCACCTTCAATTGCAACTTCATGCTGTCAAAGTGCAAACTATATGTTCAGCAGATGCAAACGTGCTTTTTAGGGACACAAAAATCTACAGAGGTCCTGCATATGGGAAGGCAGAACACTCGAAGATATACATATTCAGAAAACCGTCTAGTACCAACAAGATGAATTATGACAAAACGAATCGTTGGTAAATAGAAATAAAGGCGACAATCACAAATATGTTATATCTTTCATGTCTGCAGAATAACTACAAACGGTTTGTCATGCAGTACTTCTTTTTTCCAATTCATAATTGTATGAATCCTCACTGTCCATGTCGCTCTATGTAAGGCCGTCTAATTCTAATTGTGTACAAAAAATAGTTTCTCTATCAACTTTCTTTTAGCTACCCGCCCAAAATTCCTATTGCACTTATATACAAATCTATAGGTAGTTCATCTCTTGGGGTACTAACTAACAGCTGAGTCCTCTCCGAACAACAGGAGATAGTTTCCCATCATACCGCTCACTAACTTCACTTGCCTCTATGGGAAGCTCACTCCGGGCAGGTTGGGATCACTTACAATACATGGACTCTAGAAGGAAAGGGGTGGGTTAGGAGCATTTTCAATATGATTCTTTTCCTGTATTTGTTCGATGAAAAATATGAGTCTGTTAGCATATAAATTTGTGAAAGCATAAACACTCCTACCAAATATCGGACCTAAAGTAAACATACTGATGATTTAGCAACATGTTACATGTCAACAAGAAGATAACCACACCATACAAAATCGTCTCTTTTCTTACCCAGCGGATCTCTTCAGGCTTAAAAGTTGACCTCCATTTTAAGGTCTCTTCCAACATCTTCTTTGATTTCTCAACATTCCAATTCCGCGCTTCCAAATATCTCCTTAAACATGCATCATTGCAGTACTGTAAATCGCGTCCTGACAGTGGCGCGCCCAAGGAAGTCCTAAGCTCCTTAACCTGCAATAAAAGTAACAGCCTCTCACTTCATAGATATGATAAAACACACGATTTGATCGTGAATACATCCACAGTCCCTCAGAAGTATCAAGAGTTATGCATCTTTATAATTTCAACGATTATATTCAAGTTTTTATAGACTCAGAGAACCTAATATGATCTATTTGAGCTGTGAAAGAGAGAATTTACTGAAGGTCCTGTTCACGTGTGTCATCTCATCTAAAAGCTCAAGTTGTATAAAAATATAAACTTTTCAACGATTGATTACCTTATGTGGTTGATCCTCACCCTCCTGTTCACTATGGGGATGGCTCTTGCGACGAAACATGATAAATGTTACTGCAATGAAGCAAAACCAATATAAACAAAGTGAGGCCTTTCAGCAATCGACTAATATAAGATCGAAGTTCCCATGAATCAACAAATACATTTTCATATCTAAAACTCCTTACAAATGATCAAAAGGAACAGATTTTACTTGGAAGTATATACAGAAACACAGAGCAATTAGAACTTACTTCTATTTGACAGTCACAAGATTTCCTATCGATCTCCAAATACATTTTGTAAACAAAATTCCATACAAATGATGATTTCAATTACCATGACATAAGTAGGGTCAAAAGAATTGCATTTCATTTTTCAAGCATATTCATCACTGAGTGAATCTATTTCATTCTGTTCGATACAAAATGTAAAACGAATCACACTACTGTATGATTCGAACCTATGATATCAACTTTCCTGTCTTAGCAGTCTCAAATAAGGCGTGCACGCTTGTATCTTTAGTAGATGATTGATTCACTACCTAAGTGAAGAAAAGGCTAGATTAATCAAAGAGAGTACTACAAGTCCGCATTTTTCTAGACAGAAAATCGCAGGAATCTGAAACTACTTTCGATTACAAAATTGTTGCAACATAAATGCCTAGCTTCCCTCTTTACCAGCACAATTAAATGGTACACAAACACAAGAGGATTCAGGATTAAAAATCTATAGATTCAATCTTTAACATTCTTAGCCCTAAACCCCTAATTTTCAAAACTATGAATTCAGATATACTATTTGTTGCAATTTTGGTCAATTTTTTCACATAAATTTAAACAATTCATAGAAAGTACTGGACTCAGATGAACCCGATGCTACAACAAAGGTTTTTTTGTGTGTTTCACACCATGATCCACCTACAACAGAGTGGTAAATTTGTGAAAGAGACTACCTTTTTGGATGATAAAAAAGATCCAAACTTTGTCACAACAAAACTAACAGGCTCCAGATTACAACAACAACAACATACCTAGGGTAATCCCAGGGTCTACGGAGGGTAGGATGCGTCAGACTTTATCCCTATGTTTCTAGGGTAAAAAAAGTTATTTCTGATACACCCTCGGTTCAAAAGGAAAGTTAGTGAAATAAGACAGCGAGGAAAAAAAAAGGCAACAAAATAAACAAGATACAAAGCAAATGTACCAACAGACAGTAATCCGTCCAGATTATCATAGTTATTATATATCAAAATCAAGATCACTAACGTATAATATACACAAATTACAATAATCAAATGCAGATTCAAGATTTTAAGTCAATAAATACAAAACCAACTACAACAATCACAATATATATATATAAAAAAAAATTCGAATCGAAGATAATGAGTATTAATTAATTCATGATCATACCTTAGGTTAGAAATTTGAGTTGCCCTAATCAAGAATATAACATATAATATATCAGTGTATATGCATATAATATGATATGATCAGTGTGTGTTTGTGTGTGAAAAAGGACAATGAGATGTTACAATTATTTACATTAAACAAAAAAAAGTCTTCCACTATGAACATATGGTTATTCTACTCTTTCCGATCCTGGGATAGTGGGGGATATAATATAGTGTAAATCACAGTCTGCCACGTGGCATTTAGATTTATCTAATATGAGAGTTTTAAGGAAAGCTTTCATCTTTGAATTTTGATTATGATTCAAATATGTTTAATATTTGATTAATTAAATCTGTGTTTTTGAATATATTTGTAAGAAATATACTCCCTCCGTCCACTTTTAATTGTTATTTGAAAGTTAATTTGACTAATTTTCAAAGTTAAATTAGATTACATTAATTTGATATTTTAAACAAAGAATTTAGATATTCAAAACCTATACGAAATTCCCAAGCCTTATTTTAAGACCCGCCCAAATTTCCCGATTTTTCGTGTGTGTATAGCCCATGGATCTGGCGCCCGGAGCACCCAAATTTTTTTCCCAAAAAACATTATGAGGACCTCCATAATGAGTTGGGGATCTTTCACGTATACTCACACCAATTTTTAACGTTCATTTCTGCATTTACAAGCCCTTTTTGATGAATTGCTCAAATTTCTCAATTTTTCGTGTGTATTAGCCCATGGATCTGGCGCCCGGACAAACCAAAAAAAAATTCTCGAAAAATTTTATGAGGACCTCCGTAATGAATTAGAAAACTTTCACGTATATTCACACCATTTTTTAAACTCTCATTTCCGCATTTACATGCCCTTTTTGACGAATCGCCCAAATTTCTCGATTTTTCGTGTGTATTAGCCCATGGGTATGGCGCCCGAATAACCCAAATTATTTTTCACAAAAAACTTTATGAGGACATCCATAATGAGTTGGGGAACCTTCACGTATACTCACAACATTTATTTAGCGCCCATTTTCGCATTTACAAAGCTTTTTTAAGAATCGCCCAAATTTCTCAATTTTTCATGTATATTAACTCATTGATTTGGCGCCCGAGCACCCAAAAATAAATTCTCAAAAAACTTTATGAGGACCTCCGTAATGAGTTGGGGAATTTTCACGTATACTCAAACCATTTTTTTAACGCTCATTTCCGCATTTACAAGTCATTTTTGACGAATCACCCAAATTTCTTGATTTTTCATGTGTATTATTAGCACATGGATCGGGTGCCCAGAGCACCCAAAAAATATTTCTAAAAAATTTTTATGAGGACCTTCGTAATGAGTTGGGGAACCTTCACGTAAACTGACATCATTTTTTAACGTCCATTTTCGCATTTACAATCCCTTTTTTAGAACCGCCCAAATTTACCGATTTTTCGTGTGTATTAGCTTATGGATCTGGCGCCCGGAGCACCCACAAAAAATTTCTCAAATACCTTATGAGTACCTCTGTAATGAGTTGGGGAACATTCACGTATACTCACACCATTTTTTTACGTCCGTTTCCGCATTTACAATCCCTTTTTGACGAATCGCCCAAATTCACCAATTTTTCGTGTGTAAGCTCATGGAGCACCCAAAAAAAATTTCTCAAAAAACTTTATGAGGACCTCCATAATGAGTTGGGGAACCTTCACATTTTTTAACCCCCATTTTTGCATTTACTAGCTCTTTTTTAAGAACCGCCCAAATTTTTCAATTTTTCGTGTGTATTAGCCTAATGAATTTGGCGCTCGGAGCACCCAAATTTTTTTGAGGACCTCCGTAATGAGTCTGGAACCTTCATGTATACTCACACCATTTTTTTAACGCACATTTCTACATATACAAGCCCTTTTTGACGAATTTTTCGTGCAATACCCATGGATCTGGCTCCCAGAGCACCCAAAAATTTTTTCTCAAAAAACTTTATGAGGACCTATGAAATGAGTTGGGGAACCTTCACGTCTACTCACACCATTTTTTTAACGCTCATTTTCGCATTTACGATCCCTTTTTGACGAGTTTCCCCTGATTTTTCGTGTGTATCAATGTGATGAAAAAATACATCGTAAAATGTTAGTCAAAGTTTTTATAGTTTGACTCTAAAAAAAGAACTATGACAATTAAAGGTGGACGGAGATAGTATGATATTTAGATTATTTTTAGAAGTATTTATTCTTAAGTATATATGAGGTAATAGGTTTAACATAATATATCAGTAATTAAACGTTGAAACAGTTAATAATTCTGAATGTTTGTGAATATACATGAGCAAGAGTAAAATTATTATGAATATTTTCAAGTAATTAAAGGGAAAAAAAAGAGATATAATGCAAATTTAGCTATATGTTTGAATGGCCTTAAATCCATATATTGTTCTAGAACAAGGAAAATGGAAAAAAAAATTAGGATTAGTAATGAATTTGGACCAAATTTCCCAAAAGAAAGTCGACATCCAAGAAAAAACCTAATAAGAAGAGTTGGAAATGTAATGAAAAAGTTTTTCTTCCTATCTCCATCAATTTCCATTTTCCAGTATTTGAAGTCAATACACACTATTTGTTTGTGCTCTACCTTTCTAGAAACAAGAAATTAGTCTAAGTTTGAGCAGTAATTCCTCCGTCTCATTTTGACTATCGACTTAACTTTAAAATATGAAATTGAGGATCAAAAGTAGCGTCAAAAGTACCATAAAGGGTTAATCTGATACCCTTTCATTGAAAAAATTACGCTAGATATGTATATATGTAAGGTCAAAAAAAGAATTATGTATATATAATACATGTTAAACCTCGTAGTTTCTTCTATGTTTACCTCTTTATATTTTTAACTCCTTAATAAAATTTACGGTTCCATCACACTCTAGTGGGCCTCGAGAGAGGGGAGAGGAGACAGAGGGGAAGAACCCAGGATAGAGGATGGTGGTAGGTTGGGCTAATAGGATGGCGTATTAGATTATAGGAAGGAGACAATTGATAAATCACTTGTGAAATTTGTTTTCTCTACTTTTGCTTAGATAATCATCTTTGGTGATTTTCAAAGAATATCTTGTGCAAGAAAAGATACTTCTAAAAATATTTCAACTAACCTAACATGAAAATATTAAAAGAAGAATATTCAAAAATATTTCCCTTTCATACTAAATACATTCTTAGAGTGTAAAATAAGGTTAAAGTAAGTTGGACAAATTTAAAAATCACACAAAATATTTATACTAAACCAATGAGTGTTGCCTTGAAATAAAATAAAAGGCACATTGGAGCTACTTCTACATAAGTACTTAATTGTTTAATGTTATTAAGAAAGGAAATTATTGTCACACGACAAAATTCATCATGAATTGAACATTCAGTACCGACTGTTTGAGTTGTAAAAGGGACGCTTGCTCAATATTATTTATATAAGAGAAAAGACTTTGATATATGTATCAATTTTGTCATTTAGAGCTGATATACTCCTTGTTATGAAAGTGGCTCATATATATCCTTACCATTATACAAATGGCCGGCATATACTTTTACCGTTACAAAAGAAGCTCACATATACCCTTCATCTAACGAAAGTGAAAAATTAGTTTTAAATTTATTTTTTTGACTTTAATTTTGTTTTATAAATCGTGTAGGGTATATATATGAATATTGAATAATATGATTCTTCTAGCTAGGGGTGTGCACTATTCGGATTAAACCGAATAACCAAATCAAATCGAATTTTTATTTGGATTGATT